GGAAGGAAGGAAGGAAGGAAGGAAGGAAGGAAGGAAGGAAGGAAGGAAGGAAGGAAGGCCGGCCGGCCTTGGAAGTTGCCCAGGGGTAGAGCACTTCACTACCATGCATGAGGATTTGGGTTTGATCCTTGGTAACACCAAAACAAACAATAACAAGTAATAATAATAATAGACAACTTAAAGAAAGCATGGGAAAATAGCAATGATGGGCCACATATTTGAAGGTGACACCAAACGATTACAATGGAGCTGAAAAATATCTATGTCTAGTGTCATATTAATGTCATAGTGCAATACATGTATTTGTGGAGATTCTGTGCAAACCTATGGCACGGTCAGTCATTATTTAAGAATGACAATATACAACTATGTTACTAGTTGAATGTATTTACTATGCTTTTTTTTAATGGTACTGGGGATTTAACCCAGGGCCTCCCACATGCTAGGTAAGCATTCTACTACTGAGCTGCACCCCTAACTTCTTTAACTTTTGATTTTGAGACAGAGTCTTGCTCATTTATTGCCCAGGGTGGCCTTAAACTTGTTATTCTTAGCCTCTGGAATAGCTAGGACTACAGGCATGTGCCACCATACCCAGGTATACTATGCTATTGTGTGTACTCCTATTTACTAAAGACTTTATACACCCTTATGCCAGCAGCACCCTCATATATATGTTTCCTTCTCTACTGACTGCCTCACCAGGTCACCTGAAGTGACTGACCTGTGGTATCTAGGATAGGATACTTGGTGCAACACGAAACAGACCAGCAAATAACTGGTACCTTGGGTGTTTGTGTGCTTGTGTGTGGTGATGGCCATTGGAACCCCAGCTTTGCCGTGTTCCACAAGTGCTCTATTATTAAACCACAGCCCTAGCTCTGTACTTCCTTTTGATAACACAATCCTTTCATAAATAAATGGTCACATATTTGGGGAAAATAAAACCTCTAAATATGTTGAAATGTTATCCAATAGTCCAGAAATGGCATTTTACATTTTGGCTAGCTGATTAGATCCTAACTAGTATCTTGGATGCACTTCTAGGTTAAACATTTAAGATGGTATATACTTAGACGTGGTTTGTCCACTCATTCACACACATTTGGTAAGTATCTAGGCTTTGATAAAAATGTCGCCCTCCAGTGGTTCTAAAGAGCATTGGTAATTAAGCCTACATATATTAAAAACCCTAGATTACTTGCTGCACAGTGGATCTGGAGGGTAGAGGATCCCTTTGAGAATTTATCCACAGAGATTTTTGCAATAGGAGCGTTCGAGGAGAGTTTCTGCATTAGGAGAGTTCCTTCTCCGGTTCTCAGAGTAAGAATCTCGGACAAGGATTAGCTATCTGCTGTTTTCAGATAAACATAACTAAACGACATGTAAATAGCAGCTAAAAAAACAACAATTAAGCTGGAATTTAAAATTCACATTTACGTAGCTAAAGCTCTCAATCCAAAATAAAGATCCACGGAAATCCTCGTTCGTACGCGGGGCTGAAGCCTCACACTTACTTCAAACGCAGAATAATCCGGGGCTGTGAGGTAGCTCAAGTAGTTCTTGGTAGGTCGGTATCTGCGAGTTTCCTCCTCCACCAACGCTGCAGCCTAAAAAAAGCAGGGGCCAGGTTACAAGCGACAAATTATAACGCGCCTCCTCCGCCACCGGCCAGTGAGCGCTGTCAGCCACACGGGCAGCCCGCACTCACCGCTTCTCGCACGCCAGGCGCTTCATAACCTTGATCAAAATACGGAAGCGCGTCCACCACAACCTCGCCGGCCACTAGCCCCGTGCCCGCCATTCCAGAGACTTCAGGTTCTCCTGTTTTCTGAGTCTGCGCAGGCTCAGTCCCGTTTGATTACGCCTGCGCCCTGCGCTGATGTAATCCAGTCGCCCGCCCAACGACTTTTAGCGCATGCCCAGTTGCTAAACTGAAAGCTAGCTAGCTCGGCAGCTAGAAATTGTAGGGTGGTGACGTTTGGGTCGGAAGTGACGTCACGCGCCGACGTCTCCGCGGAAGGACCCAATTTTCAGTCTTCGGTTGGCTGAGTTTTTTTGTGTGTGAATGGCAGCAGTCTAGTGGAGTTGAGACTTTTGTTACCTCCAGGAGGTCGATTCCTGGCAGGAGAGCCTCTTCAGATTTCTGGAGGAACTGGTTGCAGGATTTGGCAGGAAATGAGAAAGTGGTTTCCCAGCTCAGCGCGATTTACTCTAACCTCCACCTTCTCCCAAGCTTTTCACTGGTGTGCTGGGATTTTCGTGCACTTTGTTGCCCACTTTTAAAAGTCCTGCCATTTTGCCTTTAGAGCATACAAAAAACCCAGTCATTTTGCCTTTAAGACTGGGCGCAGTGCAGCACCCCTGTAATTCCAGTGACTCAGGAGGGAGGCTGAGACAGAAGGATCACAATTTCTACGCCAGCCTTAACAAATTAGCTAGACCTGCCTCAAAAAGTAAAAAAAGCTGAGGACGTAGCTCTGTGGTAAAGGGGCCCCTGGGTTCAATCCCCAGTACTAACTGGGAAGGAAGACCTAGGGTAATAGAAAAGCACTCACTGCCTCTTAACCATTCAAGCTGCTGCCAAAGCCATATTCTTTGCTACTGGCCCCCAGACTAAGCTGCCTCCCTTTGATTAAGCAGGTAAAGGCCAAGGAAGATTCTCGGACTACATACCCTGTCCATTGTGTAACCGCCCCGGTCTTGTTTGCGGAGACCTTTGTAAATGTTGGCCACGGTATTTAAGCCTGGTTAGTCTACGGTGGATTTGGATTATTTTTCTAATTTACTATTAAGTAAATGTGCTACGTGTAGATTTAAGTGAAGTAAAAACATCTTTACATCTTAGACAATTTTGTTTAAAATTCTCCGAGAGATCTGTGCGTTTTTTAAAATGTTTTTATTCATTAAAAGAACATTTTATACAAATCTTGAGCAATTCTTTTACAAACGTATCCAGAATTCACAATACATTACGAAAACAAAATATAACAGAGCAAGGAAAGGAACTGACTTTCAGATTGCAAGGATAACATAAGACTCATCCCTGAAAGAGAGTAAGACTCTCATCCCTGAAGCAAAGTCTCCCTGCAGAGGGATAACCAGGATCCACCACAGTAAACCTTTCTACCCCCATGGTATAAACACCCAATTACTAATTGTTCCCTCAGGCTTAAGAGTATAAGAAGAGATTAAATGGGGAGGAGTATGGTAAGGAGTATGGTAAGTGTAAGCTGCTTAATCAAGATTTTAGAAGACACAGGCTCAGTTCTATTCCTGGACCCATATCTGTAGGAACTATACACAGCACCAGCCTTAAATGGCATCTACTCCAGATTCATTCAAGCACACCTGAATGGGTTACAATGACAATACTGTACAAGGATTTTAAAATTATGAATAAATATCTTCTATGGCAGTTAAAACCATGAGCAAAAGTTAAAAAAAAAAACCTGACATTTTCTATAATATTATCAATGAAAATTGCACCATCACTGACAAATTCCTCTTTCCAATCACTTCTACTTTTGATATTAAAGATCTGGGTGACTAAGTGGTTATGCTCAGGAAATGTTCATATTCAGAGTCAAATTTAATTAGAGTCAAAAGCCCAATGATTTAAGAGAATCGAAGAAGAGTCTTATGGTGGGGGTGTAGCCCAATGGTAGAGCCCCTGTGAGGGGCCCTGGGTTCTATCCCCAGCACCACAAAAACAAACCCTCTCTTGGCCCATGTAATTTAAAATCCCTTAGCCTCAGAGCTGAAAGTTCACTCTAGTATGTTTAATGGAAAACTGTTTAAATAGCTATAATCCTACAGAGTTCAAATTTCCATCTGTAGGACTAACAAATTTCTCTGTGTTCATAAAATAAAAGTTCTAGCATCAGCTCTGAATTGCATAACTTTGGCCAAATTATTATGCCTCTTTGAATTACAGTTTCTTCATTAGCAAAATGGAGACACAAAATCAAAAATTTAAGACTTGCATAAGATGACAGACATACATATACTACAATGCATGGCAAATGGTGAACACACAAAAATGTCCTTGCAAGGACATTTCCATATTAGCTATAATTCCTCAAAATTTAATGCTAACATGTGAGGGATAAGTTATTCAAGTGCCATACATTGTGGAGGAGAAGCTGCAAAATATTTACTTTTATAAAGAACTCAATTAACAGTACTGAAAAAGTAGGGTTTCCACATAAAGTGAGGTTACCCTCGGGAAGGCATTAAACAAAAAAGAATGGAGACAAATGATGAGTATATTCCAGTTTGTAAGCTCCAACCTCCCATAGGTTTCAAGCTGCCATGATATTTCAGAGATGAGAATTACATGTATAAGGCTAATGTTTTCCATTTCAATCAGGCCTCTCTAGTACTTAAAACTCAACCTTTCTCTCATTACACTCATCTTTGAGCTATTGGATAAATGCAATATCAACAAGCCTTTCCCTTGCCTTCACAGACTAAACACAAAACACAGAGAATGAGCCCATAAAAGGCCACAATAGAAAAGCTGAAGGCAGAGTAATGAGCATCAGTTCCAGATCACTCCCAACAGTTCTTCAGTTATTACTCAGCAGCAACAGGAGAGTCGTCTTCTTCAGAGCCTGACTTGCTCCTTAACCTTTTAAAATTTCAAGGATTTCGTAGAATATTTCAATGCATCCTGCCCTTAGAAAAAATATATTTTTGGCACTTTCTGTTCTATTTAGGATGGAGACATTCAAGTAAAGATTTCATTTCTTCTGTAGAAATTTCATTTTGCTTCCTAAAAGGCAAAAAAAAAAAAAAGTGAACTCTCAATTTATTTTCACTTAAAGTAAATTATTTGAAGCAAGGGATTAATAATTCAACTATTCAAAATATCCCAAAAATTGAGCTTTCATCTCAAGTCCTATGGTTTGAACAAGCATACCCCAAGGCTGAAGTAGTAAAGGTTTGTTCCCCAGCTTGTGGCACTATTGGGAAGTGGCAGAACTTTTAAGAAGAAAGCCAGTCATGGGGGCCATGACCTTGAGGGGATATTAGGACCCTGGCCCCTTTCTGTCTCTCTTTGCTTCTTCCATGAAGTAAGCAGCTTCCTCTGCTCTGCACTCCCACCATGCCCCAGGCCCCAAAGGAGTGGAGCCAACTGACCATGGATTGGAGCCAACCTCTAAATCTGAGTCAAAATTAACCTTTCCTTTTTTAAAGTTGATTGTTTTAGGTATTTTGTTATGATAATGAAAAGCTGCCACACCAATATATCAGCTGATGTGTTTAACCATCAGAACATCCCTGTTTCTAATTGCAGAGATAGAAAAAAACTCAGACATAATCCAATTCAGTGAGTTAGATTTAAAATCACCTAGCGTAGTCCCCAGAGATTTCATAGAACCTGAGGAAATTTCTTAGGCTCTCTGGAGATTAGTCTTTAGTGCATCTGAGAACCACTGATCTAATCTAATCCCATGGTATAAAGATGAAACAACAGCCCAAGGTATTATTTGTCTATGGTCTCTCAGCTAGTTAGGTACAAGATCAAATGAGGGACATACATTTTAAAGACCAGTATAAATATTATATAATACAGGGTCTTCACTGTTTTAGGGTAGCCCACCAATGTTCTTATACCATACTGGATAACTATTTGAAAAATCATAAATAACTGTTTCTTTATGAAGTGCATAATCTTTTGCCTCAGAGTTCTTCTAAATCAGGTGTTTTAAATCTGAAGTCTATGGATAGGCTTGGGGGGGTCCACAAACACCCTAAAATTATATGCACAATTTATTTGCATGGGAAAAGGGGCCACAGTTTTTATAAGATTATCCAAGAGACATAGCCTAAAAAGAATTAATAATCATGGTATGGAAACTTATATCATAAAGGGACAGTTCAGGGAGCTTCATCAGAACAGGCTACTCTGATGGGGATTCCAACCTCTGAGAGTTTTTCTCCCAAACACTTTGGAACTAGGGTCATGCTTTCTGCTCAAGTCTACTTGAGGTTACACTAATCTGATTATAAAGCCTTTGGGATGAGCTTTGCTTACTGCAGAGCATTCCCCCCCCACCCCCTTCAGCCACATTTCTCTTATAGTAAATCACGGCAACTCACCAAGACTCCGCAAAATTCTATTCACCCCACTGGGCTCAGACTCAGGAATTGTTTCCAAGTACTGGAGCGCCCGGACCTCAAACAAACCTATAAAGAAAACTCATATTGGTAAACCTGTTCAATGCTCTGGAAATTAAATAAAACTTTATTCTTATTACCAGTATATTATTTCAATATTACAAAATAAAGAATTCTCAAACTGAACAATTCCAAGTTTGAGCTTTACATTGTTTTTGGATTATATTATTATATTCATGCTATTTAAGCCATCACCAAATAAAGAGAACTCTAGGATTAAAACTGACCTTTAACTCCACTTTTCCGAAGCTCTCGGTCCTGGATGAATCCTGCAAACATCTGAGTCTCCATGAAAAGGTCAAGAAAGTGGCGTACACTTCGGGATGTGTGAGATTTACGGAATGGTTCCCTTTGGAATACTCGCTCCCCACGCTCAGTGACAGTCATGTTCAAAGAATAATGTCCAACCAACTCCACAAAAAACCTGACAAATGCTTCAGACACCAGAGAATTGAGTGTCACATCTGCTGTAAAATGAAAGAAAAAAAAGAAAAGAGAAAAATCTCCTAAATGTTGAGTATCTGGGAACACGGGCTCTCGGGATGAAAGTCATACATTAAGAGGTGGAGAATAAATTGAGGAATGCTCATTCTTAGCTTTCTTGTGTGGTCCATGACCAGCAAAAAGCAAATAGCTCTTATTCTGACCTTCATTTTCCTCCCACATATACTCTATAATTACATCTTTTTGTTTTCTCGGGGTGTGAGGGGGTAGGGGATAACCAGGGATTGAACCCAGGGGTATTCGGCCATATCCCCAGCCCTATTTGTATTATTTGGAGACAGAGTCTTGGTCTCGCTGAGTTGCTTAGCACCTTGCCATTGCTGAGGCTGGCTTTGAACTCATGATCCTCCTGTCTCAGCCTCCTGAGCTGCTGGGATTACAGGCATGTGCCACCATGCCCGGCTCTTATTACATCTTGCTTTGGACATCTATGGTTTCATGGGTAACTGCTCTTTCAAAGGTTACCAGCGAGAACCAACCAAACCTAATAGACTTTTCTATTTTTACCCTTCTTTAAACTCTGTG